GATAACTAGTAGCAAGCTCATAGTCCTCCAATCAACAAGCTCCTTGGGGACTGGAGTCAGACAGCAGGGTCATGGGGTAGAGGTAGAAAAGCTTCCAACATCGGGTCAAAACCCTAAAACAGTGGTCTGTTATAGCAACATATCGTTATGCAGACAGACATGACTGCAGGGCTCATCTTTATCTGCCATCCCACATGTTCATCTACAAAGTGATCTTGATAAGCCAACTATCACAACAGAGTGGTCTGTGCATGCACCCCTTGAATCTGGGTGGATTTTTTACTCTCCTGTGACCAAAAGAAGTGATGATGCATGATTTTAGAAGCTAGATCAGAAAAAGCAATACAGGGGCCGGTGCTGTGGTACAGCAGGTTAGCGCCCTGGCCTGAAGCGCTAGCATCCTACATGGGCGCTGGTTCTAGTCCCGGCTGCTCCACTTCCAATCCAGCTCTCTGCTATGGCCTGGGATAGCGGCAGAAGATGGCCCGAGTGCTTGGGCCCCTGTACCCACGTGGGAGACCCAGAAGAAGCTCCTGGCTCCTGGCTTCGGATCATCCCAGCTCCGGCTGTTGCGGCCAACTGGGGAGTGAACCAGTGGATGGAAGACCTCTCTCTCTGCCTCTCCTCTCTCTGTGTAACTCTCTCAAGTAAAAATAAATAAATAATCTTTAAAAAAAAAGAAAAGAAAAGAAAAGAAAAAGCAATACAGCTTCCACCCTGTTTGCTACAACACTTGTTTCTGGAACCCTGAGCTGCCAATAAAAAGTCCTACTACCACTCTCAGGCTGCAACTCTGTGAGAAAGCCCAAACCTTAAGGAACGGATACTTACAGATGTTACAGATGCTCTAATAGCAATCCCAGGCCTCGAGTCCTCCCAGGCCAGGTGCCAAACACGTGAATAAACACTCCAGATCCTCCAGTCCCCAGCCTTCATCCTCCCCAGACCACACACACTGAGGTGACAAGTCCTGCATACCAGGCCGTGTCTAAATTCCCAGTCCACAGCATCCATAAATATAGTAATTTTTAAAACATTTATTTGAAAGTCAGAGTTACAGAGAGAGAGGAAGACAGAGACAGATCTTCACTCCTCAGATGACCACAAGGGCCAACACTGGGCCTAAAAGCTGAGCTGGGCAGAGACCTCATGTTACGTGAACAGGAGTAAACCAGGCAAAGAAGGTAAGGCTAGGAAGAGTAGAGAAAGTATGAGGGGCACCAAGACACAGCTAAGAGTAGCAGGTTCTCATGTTCTGCAGCTCAGAGCATGACTACCACTCAAAACAGATCAGGGGCTGGGGCTGTGCCGTAGCAGGTAAAGCTACCGCCTGCAGTCCCGGCATCCTATATGGGCGCTGGTTCGAGACCCGGCTGCTCCACTTCCAATCCAGCTCTCTGCTATGGCCTGGGAAAGCAGTAGAAGATGGCCCAAGTCCTTGGACCCCTGCACCTGCCTGGAAGACTCAGAAGAAGCTCCAGCCATTGCAGCCATCTAGGGAGTGAACCATTGGATGGAAGACCTCTCTCTCTGCCTCTCCTTCTCTCTCTGTGTAACTCTTTCAAGTGAATAAATAAATCTTTTTTAAAAATTATATATTGTATACTACATAAAGAACTCAACGAGGGGCAGGTGTGTGGCCTGGGGTAAGATGCTGGTTAGAACACCTGCATCCTACATCAGAGTACCTGGGCTCAGTCCCTGGCCCTGACCCCTAACTCCAGCTTCCTACTAATGCACATCCTGGAAGGCAGCAGTGATGGCTCAACTGACTGAGTTAATGTCACTCATGTAGAAAGTCTATCACTGGGCCGGCGCCGCCGTGGCTCACTAGGCTAATCCTCCGCCTTGCGGCGCCGGCACACCGGGTTCTAGTCCTGGTCGGGGCGCCGGATTCTGTCCCAGTTGCCCCTCCTCCAGACCAGCTCTCTGCTGTGGCCAGGGAGTGCAGTGGAGGATGGCCCAAGTCCTTGGGCCCTGCACCCCATGGGAGACCAGGAGAAGCACCTGGCTCCTGCCATTGGATCAGCGCGGTGCGCCGGCCGCAGCGCGCCAGCCGCGGCAGCCATTGGAGGGTGAACCATCGGCAAAAGGTAGACCTTTCTCTCTGTCTCTCTCACGGTCCACTCTGCCTGTTAAAAAAAAAAAAAAAATTAAATAAACAGGACAGAGGATCTGATAGGTTCTAAGCATAAGGACATGGAAATGCTAACTGCTTGACTATCAGTTTACACTACATATATGTGTTGAAACACTGCTTGGCACTGCACACAATGTACAAATATTATGTGTTAATCAAAATACTTTTAAATAAAAATACATGACGCCCAGGTTTCTGGTTCCCACAAAAGAGAAGGGTGGTACCATGCTCTAAGACAGACAACCCAGAAGCCGATGGCTTTGGAAGTGCAGATGATGATGGGAGCGGGGGTGCATAAAAAACATGGTGAGCTCAGCCTGGGCAGTGACAATTTACAGAAGCCCAGAGACACTTCAGTTAGAGACGCAGGACATCTGAGCTGGGAATGTGTGCGTATGTATTGAGACGTCATCCACATACACAGTAACTGAAGCCACGGAAAACGCGAACAGCAGGAGTGAATGAGAAGGGACAAAGTCTGATAGGTGTAAGAATCAAGTGACGGTGCTAAGGCTGAGGAGATGGGCTGCCAAAAGGAACTCACCCATGATGCTAAATACCGCAGGGCCTGCCTGAGGCTTACACAGTGCTACCGGCTGTATCAGTGGGAAGGGCATCTTAATGAAGCAGCACTGAGATCAGATTAGAATGTGCTGAAAACCTGAGAGGCCACAAACTCTTCTGAGAACCCCGGTCGCCCATGGAAGGAGAAAGGTCAGATATTCCCAGGAAAGAAACAACTGAGCAGAGTTTAACTTCTTTGCAGGTGCCAAGAGAGATCTGACACTTTCACATGGCAACATCCGAAAGGAGCAGCCTAATTGATGAGGGCGTATCTAACAGACTTCAGAACAGGCAGGAATGGAACATGGACCACTCTTCTCTTCCACAGGTACTTTATACGTTGCTAATGAGAATGTAAATTCGCAGTTAATAGCACAGTGGTCACTTGGCACCATCCTGCAAAATGTTAAATGAATATACCGTTTGACCTGACAATTCTCTATTTAGCGATTTTTTTTTTAATATTTTTTATTTACTTAAAAGGCAGTTCCAGAAAGAGAAAGGGCTTCCATCCGCTGGTTCACTCCCCCAATGGCTGCAGCAGCCGGAGCTGGGCAGGCCCGGGGCCAGGAGCCTCTTACGGGTCTCCCGCGCGGATGCAGGAGCCCAGGCACTGGGCCGTCCTCCACTGCCCTCCCAGGAAAAGACGAGAATGATGCAAATGCCCATCCCTAAGAGACTGGCTGAGTCGCACTACATCTAAACAAGCGAGCAGTGACGATGGACTCCACACACTGGCAGGAAAGCCCACTACATAATACTATGTAAGAAATAGAAATACAGGAGAGCACGAATGGTGCTTTTTGTCTGAAAATCGGGGAACCACACAATCCCATTTACGCTCACTCACACGTACGTAAAGAAACCTTGGAGCAGGAGAATCTGTACCAGCAGCTACCTGCGTGGACGCGGTTCAAACCGGACAGCTGGTGGGCCCGATGAGCCCCGGCGCTGAGACGCTAAGCCTGCGCTTCTGCTTCCTCCGAGAGGCAGCGGAGGCGAGCGGGTGGGATGCCAGGGGGGCTACGGGACTGGGAGCCAGAACACCTCTCTGGCGGCCGCGCGTCCCTCTGGGGCGCAGTCAGTTCCAAGGACACCTTCGAGACAATTCCCCGAGGTTTAGGACTGCACGGAGGAGGGCCACCCGCGGCCGCCGTGCTCCCAGGGCCCAGCACACAACCTAACGGATGGCCAGCGCCACTCCGTCCATCGGTGGCCCGGGGACCCGAGGACCGTCGGGACGCCCCCGAGCCGGAACAACGCCATCTGCCTACGGTTCCGCACGCCACTCCACCACGGGACGAACACAGCCGGCCAGGAGCCTGCACGCGCGCATCCCCCGCGCCGCCACTTCCCGCACGCCCAGCTCGGACCGCGGCGGTCTCCGGGCGGCGGACGCAAAGCCGTCCAGCTCCCCCATTTTCCCGCCGCGGAGTCTGCGTTGCATGGTCACCTACCCTCGTCCGCGTCGTACATGTTGGCAAACGGTCCAGGAGATCCTAACCCTCAAAAAGAAAAACCACTGAGACAGAAAACCGCGTAGCAGCCGCCACAGGGCCGCAGGCAGAGACGAAGCAACTTCCGGTTCCGGTGTTCCCACAATTCTCTGCGTCCCCGAAGGCCCGCCCCACCGTCGCCGAGGTGGGATCTGCGCCTGCGCCAGTTGAAGCATAGGGCGGGCTGGGCTCGGGGTCGCTCGGGCGCGGCTGAGCCGGGGCGCGACCAGTCCGAGGCGGAGGGGCGGCTCTACAGCTGCTTCACGTTGAACAAACCCCGCCTGAAAAAAATCCAAGTGAATTTGTTAGCGGTTCTGGCCGTGGCGTGAGCTCGCAGGTTTAAGGCTGTATTGTTTGCACTCCAAAGACCAGGAAGCCACAAAACTAAAAGGGATTAAGTGCGACTTGTGCTGGCCGTAGCGCCTTGAGAAAGCTTGAAGAAAGATTTATTTATTTATTTGAGAGGCAGATTTACAACGAGGCAGAGAGGTCCTCCGACCGCTAGTTCACTCCCCCAGGTGGCCGCAACAACCGCGGAGCTGAAGCCAGGAACTTCCTCCCGGTCCCCGACGTGGGTGCAGGGGCCTCAAGGACTTGGGCCATCTTCTGCTGCCTTCCCGAGGCCCCAGCAGAGAGCCGGGTTGCAAGTGCAGCAGCCGGGACTCGAACCTGTGCCCTCAGGGGAGGCTGACACCGCGGCTTTCCCGCTACGCTTTCATCGCGATAACTCGCGGGATCTCGAGGTGGAAGGAAGCCGCACCTCCGGGGTTTGGGGCAGAACGGGCGCCTGGGGCCCCACTGCGCGTGCTCGGTGGTGGCTCCGCCCCCTCGCGGCGGGCCGCGATCCCCATGCTGCCCGCACGCCTGGCGGGGAGGCTGCTGGGCCCCGTGGTGCGGTGGTCCGCGCCTGCGGTGCGGCTCCTGCGGACGGGATGCGCGGCCGCCGCCGCCGCCTCCCAGCCCCCGTCGGGCCTGCGGCGGGCGCTCCCTCAAGGCCCCGCCGCGCCCGGGGACGACACCGAGGAGCGTTTCCTGTTCCCCGAGTACACCCCGGAGCCGGAGCCCCCGCCGACGCCTGAGGAGCTGCTGCGGGCGCTGCGGGAGCGGGAGCAGGAGCAGGAGGAGCAGGCGCGGCGCCGGGCGGAGCGGCGGCAGGCGCGGGCCAGCCTCCGCGCGCCCCCGGCCGCGGGCCGCCCGGACCCGGCGGTGCCGCCCAGCGGCCTGCCCTGCTCGGGCTGCGGGGCGGAGCTCCACTGCCGGGACCCCGGCGTGCCCGGCTACCTGCCCAGCGAGAAGTTCGCCCGCGCCGCGCAGGACGGCCAGCTGGCGCGCGCCGTGTGCCAGCGCTGCTGGCTGCTGGTGCACCACCGGCGCGCCCTGCGGCTGCGCGTGAGCCGCGCGCAGTACCTGCAGCAGGTGAGCGCGGCGCTGCGGCGGCCCGGGCCCGCGCTGGTGCTCTACCTGCTGGACCTGCTGGACCTGCCCGACCCGCTGCTGCGCCACCTCCCCGCGCTGGTGGGCCCCAAGCAGCTGATCGTGCTGGGGAACAAGGTGGACCTGCTGCCGCAGGACGCGCCTGACTACCGGCGGCGGCTCCGCCAGCGGCTGTGGGACGAGTGCGTGCGCGCCGGGCTGCTGCCGGCGCCGGGCCACCGAGGGCCGCAGCCCGGCGCCGGCGGGGACGAGGAGCAGAGCGCGTCCCGCACGGTGGTCAGGGACGTGCGGCTGGTCAGCGCCAAGACCGGCTATGGGGTGGAGGAGCTGATCTCGGCGCTGCAGCGCGCCTGGCGCTACCGCGGCGACGTCTACCTGGTGGGCGCCACCAACGCCGGCAAGTCCACGCTGTTCAACACGCTGCTGGAGTCCGACTACTGCACCGCCAAGGGCGCCGAGGCCATCGACAAGGCCACCATCTCGCCGTGGCCGGGTGAGTGCGAGAAGCGGGCGCGCCGTGCCCGCCGCCGGGCGCCTTCCCTGGAACCTTGCAGCCCTGCGGGGGTCTCGCGCCTCCCTGGCCGGAACAGAGCCGAAGCCCCTGCGCTCTGGCCGTGTCCCTGGAGCTGGCTTCTTCGTAGGGTCCTCTGGCGTGAGGCCAGCGGGTGCTCCACGCACAACACGTGAATAACCCGTAGTGCAGAGCGTGCGGGGGGAAGAAAGGGCGGGTGGTGACTTGGTAAGAAACTTGCGTGATTGGAAAATGGGTCCCTGTGTCTGTGACCCTGTTTGTGTTGGACTTGGGAGAGCGCACTGCGACAGCCCTGTGTCCCCTTGAAGCCAGACTTCACCCTTGCTTAGTGAGCTGGTCTTCTGCCTTGCGCTCGAGTTGAATTCTCCGCAGTTGCTTTTTACCTGGTGATGTTGAAAACAGCAATCAGACATGCACACGGACCCTGGTTAAGCTTGCGAGCCAATCAGCTTATTTACGACTCCTCCGTGAAGTGGGACTATTTCTAGGGGGCTAGCGTGGAGGTTGCGTGAGAGAAAGCAGCGTACCCCACGACAGTGCGTGTCCTCAGAAGCGCTCATTCCTTCCCCTTATTCCCTTCCCCGTGTTCCAGGTACTACGTTAAACCTTCTCAAGTTCCCCATCTGCAACCCAACTCCCTACAGAATGTTTGAAAGACAAAAAAGACTTAAAGAGGACGCGGCCAAAGCTGAAGAAGAGCTCAGTGAGCAGGAACAGAATCGGCTCCGGCTCCTGAAAAGACGTGGATACGTAGTGGGTAAGCGTCCTGTGGGGAAAGCCCTTGTTGGTCCCATGCCGGAATTCTCCCCGAAATTCAGGGGCCTGGGGCCAGCCGCTTGTTGCGGGGAGAGGCTGCCTTGCTTGGTCTCTTTAAAGGCAAGGCTGCCTCCATCTGGAATCCCAGACCGATACTCGTGGTAAACATTGGTGACTCCGTGCAGCGGCTGCCCTGGGGACAGGCGTTTGATGCAGTAGTTACGACGGCCTTGTTCCCTATCAGAATGCCTGTGTTCAACTCCTGTGTGCAAGCTCGCGCTCCGGCTTCCCGGGAGGCAGCAGGTGATGTCCTGGGTATTTGGGTCCCTGCCACCCTCCTGGGAGACCCAGCCTGAGTTCCCGGCTTGGCTGCTGCGCTTCCATCTGGCCCAGCCTTGGCTGTTGAGTTCATTTAGGAAGTGAATCAGCAGGTAGATGATTTCTCGGTCTGTTTTCCAAATAGAATTAGTAAGTTTGCTTTAAATTTGTTCCTACAAAGCAGAGACCTCGTCTCACTTCTGTACACCAAAGTTAGCCTTGGTAAGTTGTCTGGAGTCAAAAGCATTAACGGACTGACTGATGACCTCGCTATAATGTGTTCTAGGAAGAGTTGGAAGAACATTCTTGTATTCAAAGGAGCAGAAGGGTGAAGCTGCCTTTGAGTTTGATGCGGATTCACTGGCCTTTGACATGGAAAATGAACCTGTGCTGACTCCAGACAAATCCACCAAGCGAGTGGAATTGACTCCACAGGACGTGAAAGATGCCCACTGGTTCTATGACACCCCTGGGATTTCAAAAGAAAATTGTGTATGTATCTGGTCTCTTCCTCCACACTTACTTTTTTTTTTTTATTTTAATATTTACTTATTTGAAAGGCAGAGTTACAGACACAGAGAGAGAAACAGAGAGAGAGCCTCCATGGGCTGGTTCACTCCCCAAATGGCCGCCACAGCCAGAGCTGGGCCGGTCTGAAGCCAGGAGCTTCCTCTGGGTCTCTGGGTTCAGAGCCCAAGCACCTGGGCCATCCTCTGCTGCCTTTTCAGGCACATCAGCAGGAAGCTGGATCGGAAGTGGAGCAGCTGGGACTCAAACGGCACCCATAGGGGATGCCCGCGTCACAGGCGGCGGCTTTACCAGCTACCCCACAGCCCTGGCCCCCACGTTTACTTTCATTAGCACAGGCGCCGTGTTTCGGGCAGAGAGCAGGAGGAGAGATGCACTTGCACTTGCGATTCAGTTCTGGTTCACTGGTAAAAGCAGGCCAGGGAGGCATCTGTCCTCTAGTTCTCCCTTCGTTTGGTGGACCTCGTGGCTGACAACCCACTTGTGGTGCTGTACAGACTCCTAGCTGTTGAGGCTGACAGGCACCACTGCAGTGCAGCCCGCTCGTCCGTGCCTGAGTTCCTAACACGCTGTAGCCCTCATAAGGCCTTCTGGCTGAACGCAAGGCAGGAGTCACTCACGGGGAGCAGGCGCAGTGTCCCCTCAGCTCCCAAGGTAAACACTGCTCTTCAGCTGAGCTGAGCCGTCACCCAGTAACTGGTACCCTTTGGTCCTCGGGGCTGCATGCACCAACTTCCCTGGGCCTGGAAATACTTGGAAGTCTCTCTCTTCCTCCTGTGTCCCTGCCTCTTCTCTTTCACTATTTCATCCAACAAACATCGACTGTCCGGCGGCGTAATCCAGAACATGAGACGGGCAGCGCAGCAGCACAGGCTCGCCACAGAATTGTTGTTTGTTTGGTTTTTAAGATTTTATTTATTTATTTGAGAGGTAGGATTACAAAGAGAAAGGTCTTCCATCCACTGGTTCACTCCCCAAATGGCCACAACGGCTAGAGCTGAGCCGATCTGAAGCCAGGAGCTTCTTCCAGGTCTCCCATGTGGGCGCAGGGGCCCAAGGACTTGGACCATGTTCCACTGCTTTCCCAGGCCATTAGCAGAGAGCTGGATCGGAAAAGGAGCAGCCGGGGCTCGAACCCCAGGCTGTATGGGATGCTGGTGCTGTAGGCAGAGGCTTAACCGGCCCCCAGGCCCACACTTTATTTTTAATTTTATTTATTGATTTTTAGGACAGTTGCAGGATCTCACGGGTCATTTGAATTTTTGTCTTGTTCATTTCACCCCATACCTGACTCTTACGTGTTCATTCGGTCTCACAGCTGCTTCTCTTACTTGTAGTTTTGGTCTCTGTCCAGGTCATTGATGGACTCAGGTGTGCGGCCGCATCCGCCGCTTCCTCTGCAGCTGGTGCCTGAGCAGTCCCCGTCTCCTCCTGACGTCCGTATCTCCCTGTGAGACAGCACAGCTTTCTTGGGTACTCTTCTTGCCTTTGCCTCACCAGCGTCACTTCCAGTTTCACTGTCAGATGCATTTTTTTTCGTGCCCCTGTTATACGTGCTGCAGACTTTTTCTTTCTGCATGGTTGCCCTCCTGGAAACACACCTGGGGCTCAGTCTCTTTTTGCCCAGCAGTAAGTGCCTGGACGGCTGCTTCAGGATATCCCATCGCTTCAGTGCCAACTCCTCCTTCCCTTTCAGCCTGTTAGCCCAGGCATAGCAGTTGCTTTAGTCACGAACCTTGCTGGGGGCCCCAGTGCTGTGGCGCAGCAGGCTAAGCCTCCACCTACAGCTCTGGCATCCCATATGGGCGCCGGTTCCTGTCCCGGCTGCTCCTCTTCTGATCCAGCTCTCTGCTATGGCCTGGGAAAGCAGTAGAAGATGGCCCAAGTGCTTGGGCCCCTGCACCCGTGTGGGAGATCCAGAGGCGGCTCCTGGCTCCTGGCTCCGGATCTGCGCAGCTCCAGCTGTTGCAGCCATCTGGGGAGTGAACACTGCATGGAAGGCATTTCTCTGTCTCTCTTCTTCTCAAATAAGTTAAATATTTTTTTAAAGGGCCTGTTGAGAAATCTTTCGCAACATATTCTAGCCAACAGAATGACAGCTTCAAGTTTTTAGATATAAAACCACTCAGCACTGGCAGTTTTATTTCTGGGTCAGTTTACAGACAAACTTTACATGCGTTTGATGACGTAGACCACCATTCCTCAAGCTGTTCTCACAAAGAACTCGAGTAAGAAAGTTTTGGTGCTACAAGTGGCTTACACAGTGCCTTTTCAAACAAATAATGAGAAAAATTTATAGCCGTCTTATTTTTTTTTATAAGCTTCTCTATCATATTTTTGTTTCCTCAGTTTTTTTCTAATTGATTTATTTATTTGAAAGGCACACAGAGCAGTCTTCCATTGGCTGGTTCACTCCCCAAATGCCTTTGATAGCCAGGCCTGGGCCAGGCCAAAGCTGAGAGCCGAGAACTCAGTCCGGGTCTCCCACCTGGGTGGCAAGGACCCGAGCCCTTGAGCCATCACTGCTGCTTCCCAGGAAGTTGGAATCTGTCCAGAGCAGGGCTGGGACAGGAACCCGGCATTCCATATGGAGTGCAGGTGTCTTAACCGCTGTGCCCAACACCCGCCCCTTGTTAGGCTTTTAGGAACCAAATTTACAGTTTTTTGTCTACTCTTAATCAGTTTGATTCCTTAAATCTTACCTGAATCTTGTAGTTCCTGTCTTCCCATTGCTGTTTTCTCCAGTCCTTTAGAAACTCTTCTTCATCCTTTAGAAGCCAGAAGATTTATCTATTTTCATCTTATTCGAAAGACAGAAGTCTTCCATCTGCTGGTTCATTCCCCCAAATCTACAATAGGGAGGACTGGACCAGGCCCATGCCAGGAGTTTGGAACTCAGTCTGGGTCCTCCCACACTGGCGGCAGAACCCACACTGAAGCCATCACCTGCTCCTTGTACGTGAGTAAGAAGCTCATCGGAAGCAGAATAGTTGGGACTTGAACCAGCCACTTCAGTATGGGATACAGATGTCCCAAGTGGCAGCTGAGCCACCACCCCAGATGCCTGCCCTGAGATTAATTTAGACAGAGGATTACATAGAATATAAAGTCTGGACTATTTTTTCATCTCTTTATCTTTACAGGCAAATCACTATATATTGTATTTTCAATAAAAATAATTTTCTTAAAATTGTATCGTTTGCTTTACAGATTTTAAATCTTCTGACAGAAAAAGAAGTAAATATTGTTTTGCCAACACAGTCCATTATCCCAAGAACCTTTGTGCTTAAACCAGGGATGGTCCTCTTTTTGGGTGCTATAGGCCGATTAGATTTCCTGCAGGTAAGAAACAGCTATGCCATTAAAAAAATGAGTAGTAAATATTGGGATTCACTTTAAGGAAACACATATGAGGGCGCTTAAAAGTCTGGGAAAATGTGATTAAAAGGCAAGTTGATTTTGGTGCCAAAGAGTTTTGAGATCCTTGCACAATTTTTTCATAAGCACAGTTCCACAAACTTTTTTTTTTTTTTTTTTTTTTGACGGGCAGAGTGGACAGTGAGAGAGAGAGACAGAGAGAAAGGTCTTCCTTTGCCGTTGGTTCACCCTCCAATGGCCGACGCGTTGCCGCCGGCGCACCGCGCTGATCCGATGGCAGGAGCCAGGTACTTCTGGTCTCCCATGGGGTGCAGGACCCAAGCACTTGGGCCATCCTCCACTGCACTCCCGGGCCATAGCAGAGAGCTGGCCTGGAAGAGGGGCAACCGGGACAGAATCCGGCGCCCCGACCGGGACTAGAACCAGGTGTGCCGGCGCCGCAAGGCAGTGGATTAGCCTAGTGAGCCACGGCGCCGGCACCACAACTTCTTGAAGATCCCATTTACTTTTTATTTGAAAGGCAGAGGGAGGGAGGGAGATTCTATCTGCTGGTTCAGCTCCCAGATGGCTGCAGTAGCCAAGGCTGATCCAGGCCATCCCAGTCTCCTGCTGCCTTCCCACGCAGCAGGGTGCTGGATTGGAAGCGGAGCAACTGGGACTCAAGGGGCATCCCAGTGTTGGATGCTGGTGTTAAAAGCAGTGTCGGCCCTGTGTTGCAAAATATTTTTACACCAAAATTAACACCTTTCAATTCCATTCTTCCACGATTTTTTTTTAAAGATTTATTTATTCATTTGAAACAAAGCCCATAGAGTGCTGGTATTTGTTATTGTTATTATTTGAAAGGCAGAGAAAGATTTCCCATCCACTGGGTCATTCCCCAAATGTCCAACAGGCAGGGACAGGCCAGGCCAAAGCCAAGGAGCTATGAAGTCCATCTGGGGCTCCCACGTGGATGGCAAAGAACCCAGTACTTAGCCAGCACCTGCATTAGCAGGAAGCTGGAATGCAAAGTGGAGCTGGGTTCTGAACCCAGGCACCCAGTATGGGATGCAGGCACTGCAAGTGGCTTAACTGCCACCCACAGTGTAGATTATTCGTATAATCTAAACCTAACTACACAGGAACTGTTGAAGCAGCCTACTTTCTTCTTTGTTTTTGACAGTGATTTTTTAATATTATCAACAGGTCTATAGAAGTCAGCGTTGTACGGGACTTGTTAAAATGCACTGCTGCCACATTGTGCCTTTCTGTTTGATTTTGGTATTAATATAATCTGACTATACCTTTGATGTTTTGTTTACGCTTCTGTGAATGAATTGTACATTGAGCTGTGCAGGTTTTCCAGCTTTTTTCATTGTGTAAGATGCCTCGTTCCTTTCTTCAGGGAAAGGAGTCAGCTTGGTTTACCGTCGTGGCTTCCAACTTCCTCCCCGTGCATGTCACTTACTTGGACAGGGCAGATGCCTTGTATCAGAAGCACGCGGGACACACGTTGCTACAGGTAAGGCCGAGGGCCCCGTCGTTCTGCCGAGAAGACCCGTGTTGAACAAAACCGCCTGTGAGCCGTCAGCCGGCTCTCCCCTCATTGTCTCCGAGGATCCTGGCTGGAAGGCACGACGAGCCCTTAATGTGGACTAGCCACAGGGCTGCGTTTCTCTGCGCTACGCCGTCCAGCACGGTAGCCCCAGCCACGTGTGGCTGTCTAAGTTTAAACTCATCAGTTAAATAAAATCTGAAGAGTGGTTCTAGCCGCATTTCCACTGCCCAGTAGTGGCATCCTTGGGGAGACTTGGGTTAGACAGTGCTGAGTGAACAGAAGTTAGAGGTTTTGTCACAGCCAGAGGCTTGACTGGCATCTACTGGGCGGAGGCCCCAGCGGATGCTGGACAGCCTGTGGCACACAGCAGCGATGCCGGTCCACGCCGTCAGCAGGGATTAAGCCCTGGTCTGAGTGGGAAGATGCCCCGGGTTCTTAATCCCAAACACTCAGTCTACAGGTTTTGCTACCTCTTCCCTGCTGCTCTGCCATCCCCTCCTTTGACCTATAGATGTGGGAAAACTGCGTCATCCTGGGGCAAAACAAAAATCTCAAGTGTCCTGCTCAGTGCTTCTCTGTGTTGCCATCCCTCTTTGGTCCTTACCATGCGGCTGAAATCGTCCCTGCTGTAAAGTTCACCAAAGACTGGCTGACTCAGCTCTTTGAGAAGACGGCCATCCACACTGTTGATAGTGGGTATTGCACGTTGGCTAAGATGGTTGGAGCAGACCACCTGGGTTCAGTGCCTGTTCCACTCCACCACTTAACAAAAATGTGTGACTTTCAGCCAACTTCCCTGGTCTCTGCTGCACCTAGCTGGCGAGGTGGTGGAGAGGATGAAGTGACAGGCAGCATCTGTTAGCAAGGATAGCATGTGTGGTGGTGGTGAGATGAGGGTGGTGGAGATAGGGAATGCATCTCGCAGAAGTACTGGGCGTGCAGCACAGCAGAGGCGAGTGTTAATGCTCACGCGATGGAGGTATGTCAGACAAATGGGCACCCTTCAGACGTTAGCAACACAAGCCTGACTTCAAGTAGATATGGGGGGCAGGTGTTCAGCACAGCAGTGAAGATGCTGCTTGGAACACCCACAGTCTGCATCAGGGGACCTGGGTTCAAGTCTCCGATCCACTTCCAGCTCCTGCTTCCTGCTGACATGCAGAGCAGGTGATGGCTCGTGCACTTGTCACTGCCGCCCACGTGAGAGACACAGTTTTTCTGGGAGCTGGCTTCCCAGCCTTGGCTGTTTGGCAGATATTCAGGGAGTAAACCAGTAGATGGGCAATCTCTGGCTCTCAAATAAATAAAATAATTCTTTAAGTTTGAGGAAATGGAATTAAAAGCTTGAGTTTATTTTGGTGCCCCCCAAAAAGAAATTGTGGCACCATGGGTTAAGCTGCTGCTTGCAACACCAGCATCGCATAGCAGAGTGCCAGTTCGTTTCCAGGCCGCTCCATTCCCAGTCCAGCTTCCCACTATGCCCCTGGGAAGGCAGCAGGTGGTGGCTCAAGTATTTCGGCCCCTGCCACCCAGATGGAGTTCTTGGCTCCTGGCTTCAGCCTGGCCTAGACCTGGCTGTCATGGCCATTTGGGGAGTGAACTAGTGGATGGGAAATCAGTCCCCCATTTTCAAAAAAAAAATTTTTTAAGATTTATTTATTTATTTATTTATTTGAAAGAGTTAGAGGAGGGGCCGGTGCTGTGGGGTAATGGGTAAAGCCGCTGCCTGCAGTGCCGGCATCCCATATGGGCGCCTGTTCAAGACCCAGCTGCTCCACTTCCGAGCCAGTTCTCTACTATGGCCTGGGAAAGCAGGACAAGATGGCCCAAGTCCTTGGGCCCCTGCACCCACATGGGAAGATCCGGAGGAAGCTCCTGGCTCCTGGCTTCGGATCAGTGCAGTGCCGGCCGTTGCGGCCATCTGGGGAGTGAACCAGCGGATGGAAGACCTCTCTCTCTCTGCCTCTCCTCTCTCAGTGTAACTCTGACTTTCAAATAAATAAAATAAATCTTAAAAAAAGAGAGGAGAGAGAGAGAGCGCGCGCTTCCATCTACAGGTTCACTCCCCAAGTGGCTGCAACAGGTAGGGCTGAAGCCAGGAACCAGGAGCTTCATTTGGGTCTCCCACGTGGGTGCAGGGGCCCAGAAACTTGACCACCTTCCACTGCTTTCCCAAATGCATTGTCAGGGAGCTGTATCACAAGTAGAGCAGCCGGGACTCGAACCAGTGCACATATGAGATGCTGGCACCACAGGACACAGCTTAACCCACTGCACCACAGCACCAGCCTCAAAAAACTTTTTTCATAATTCATGGAAAAAGCTATGTATGGATTTCAAAATCGTTTTTGCCAAGCCAGCACTGTGGCACAGCGAGTTAAGCTACTACCTGCAACACAGGCATCTCATATAGGCGATGGTTCGAATCCCAGCTGTTCCACTTCCAGCTCCCTGCTAATGCTCCTGGGAAAGCAGCGGGAGATGGCCTAACTGCTTGGGCCCCTGCCACCCACATGGGAGACACAGATGGAGCTCCAGGCTCCTGGCTTTGGCCTAGCCCAGCCCTGGACATCTCAGCCTTCTGGGGAGTGAACCAGTGGACGGAAGAGTCTCTCTGCCTTTCAAATAAATCTTTTTAAAAATCTCCATTTAAAAACAGCACACATAATTGTTTTTGCACCAAAATATGTTCTTAGTTTAAATTCTGTTTTTCTGTGAACTTTTTGAAGTACCAGCATACTTCCTTCTCTGGACTTCCTAAGAAAGCCAGACTGGAATGAAAACTGCACTGAGATGGAGATACCTGCCCTGGATGTACCATTCCAAAGCCTTCTAGAAGGTGCAGGGTCAGTGTGCACCTAAAGGCAGGCAGGAGCGCGGGCTCTGCCAGTTTTCCTACACATAGACTGTGGTTGTTGTCTTAGGTCTGTTCACTTTGTGGGTGGAACAAGAGTACACAAGTGGACACGCAGCTTGAGACTCGGGAACGGACGCCCCCTGGGGCCGCCTGGCGGGGCTGTCCTCCGCTAACCTCGGGAGCTCTGCTCTCACGCGTTGGGTTGTCTTCACACGAACGTGGCTGGCGCTGGCCAGAGCAGCAGTTCCGGGCCTGGGCGTGACACATGCTCTCCGGGACACTGGTGCCTCCTGGTTTGCCGCCTCAACTCCCAAATCACAGTCACTTCTGCCTCATTACCTCCTTCAGTAGCTCCCCAGCTTCAGTGTTTCCTGTCTCCTGCTCGCTCAGCCCTTGCCTCCACCCCCAAATTGACCTCCACAGCCACGCGAGCTCTTGCTTGCTCATCCTCCCCTGGGGGACGTGTGCTCATGTCTGGAGACACCCAGGACAGGGCATTACTCAGCACAGAATGTCAGGGATTAAACCCTCCTGAGAGGTCCTTGCAGGGAAAGCAGGTCGTTCTACTCTGCTTGCATTCTGCTCTGAGGTGCCCGCTCTTTATAATTCATTGCTGAGTCCAGCTACCCACAGTCTCATCGCTACTCCACCCTCAGCACGCGCACACAGGGAACACACCACGGAGAGTTAAACCACACTCCCCAGTCCCTCTGTGCCCCAGCGTGTGTCTGCGCATGTGCTGACCAGGATACCTTTCTCATAAGTGACGCCTGTGCCCCTCGCCAGGCACAGCTCCTACACTGCCTCGGCATTCCTGTTTGCTTCCTGCACAGCCACATATGTTGAAGAGGCCGCTCATCCCGCCTTTCACCTTCTGTCTGCTCCTGCTATCTGCCCTTCCGACCTCTTGGAGACAGGGACCAGATGAGAACATCTGTCTGGTCCCCAGTGCTAAACACAGGAGGGAGTCATTAATGAATGCATGAACAGGTGATTCTGTTACTACTAAATGGGAGCAGGAGCTGGATCCTGTCCCTTACCCAAGGGTACTTCCAGAATTTCATGGAAGGGCCGGCGTTGTGGCATATTGGATAAACCACTACCTGCAACACTGGCATCCCATATGGGCACTGTTCTGGCTGCTCCACTTCCCTATCCAGCTCCCTACTAAGGGCCTGGGAAACGCAGTGGAAGATGGCCCGAGTGTTTGGGCCCGTGAACCCACATGGGAGACCCGGATGAAGCTCCTGGCTTCCATCTGGCTCAGCCATGGCCATTTTGGCCATATGGGGAGTGAACCAGCAGATAGAAGATATCCCTCTTTCTCTTTCAAATATTTTTTTAAAAAGTTCATGGAAAATGGAATTAAAAGATAGGCTTCGGCTTAGGGGCCCCGCTGTGGCCCAGCAGGTTAAAGCTCCTACCTGCAGCACCAGCATCCCATGTGGGTGCTGGTTCGAGTCCCATCTGCTCCACTTCTAATCCAGCTCCCTGCTGATGGGCCGGGGAAAGCATCACATTGCACCCACATGGGAGACTTGGAAGAAGCTCCTAGTTCCTGGTTTCAGCCTGGCCCAGCCCGGGTCATAGCAGCCATCTGGGGAGTGAACCAGCAGATGGAAGACTGACCTCTCTGTCTCTACATCCCTCTGTAACTCTTGCCTTTCAAATCAGTAAATCTTAAAAATAATAGCAAATAAAAGATAGGCTTATTTGACTCCAGTGTTTGAATCCATGCAGTTTTTGATAATGTGTTTCCATGAACTTTATTTTTTTTTTTCGTTTTTCTTTGACAGGCAGAGTGGAAAGTGAGAGAGAGAGACAGAGAGAAAGGTCTTCCTTTGCCGTTGGTTCACCCTCCAATGGCCGCTGCAGCCGGCACACCATACTGACCCGAAGGCAGGAGCCAGGTACTTCTCCTGGTCTCCCATGGGGTGCAGGGCCCAAGCACTTGGGCCATCCTCCACTGCACTCCCTGGCCACAGCAGAGAGCTGGCCTGGAAGAGGGGCAACCGGGACAGAATTCGGTGCCCCGACCGGGACTAGAACCCGGTGTGCCGGCGCCACAAGGCAGAGGATTAGCCTAGTGAGCCGCAGCGCCGGCCTTCCATGAACTTTTTGAAGTACCCTTCTGCAGGGATCTTTGAGTTAGAAAGAAGCGTGGGTAAATCTTCCTGGCCACATGGTAAGAGCCAAGGTCCTTGTCTTAATGGCCCATCCTTACCCTTGGGGTGTACAGCACTATGAGGAGCTACAAGACTCTTGTCAATAAAGCTGCAGCGTGTCCTTGCCTGTCTCATGGCCCTGAGCCTGGGGTGATTCGTAACGCCCGTGCAGAATTAGCAGTGGTTTACCTGGGGATTGAATTTGAACTTCGGGACATCTTTTTCTTTTGCTGGAAGGTTCCGATGGGCGGAGAAGAGCGAATGACAGAATTCCCCCCTCTGGTTGGTGAAGACATTACTTTAAAAGAAGGACTTGGATCTGAAGCAGTGGCAGACATCAAGTTTTCCTCTGCAGGTGAGCGTAGACCAAGCGCTTTGTAAAAACCTAGTGAAGCAGCTGTGTGGACGTAGAGTATACTGCGATAGAAATGAGGATGGCTGATTTCAAGGCACCACAAGTTTATTCGTAAACACAACCTGTGCTGAAAACGTGCACTTCTCACAAATGTGTTGTGTGCTTTTTAGGAAGGGGTCGCTAACAGCACCGTGTTCTTTCTTGTGCCCGCCTAGGTTGGGTCGCAGTGACACCTCACCTGCACGACACGCTCCACCTCCGAGGCTACACGCCTCAAGGGACAGTTCTGACAGTCCGGCCCCCTCTCTTGCCACATATCGTGAACGTCAAAGGAGAGCGCATCAGAAGAAGTGTGGCCTATAAAACCAAGAAGCCACCCTCCCTTGTGTGCAATCTGCAGAAGAAGAAAAACAAATAACTACACGAGGCTGGCCTCGTTTGCACTGGGTGTTTGCTCACTGAACCTGACAGTGTATACTCATGTGGCTGGCACCGCGGTGTAGGGAGTTAAGCCACCGCCTGCAGAGCCAGCATCCTATATGAACACCAGTTCAGGTCCCAGCTGCTCCACTTCCAATCTAGCTCCCTGGTAATGTGCCTGGGAAAGCCTGGCCCAGCCCTGGTCATTGTGGCCATCTGGGGAGTGAATCAGCAGATGGAAGACCTCACTCTCTCTCTCTCTCTGCCTTTCAAATAAATCTTTAAAAACAATATACATTGAAATTGTGTTAATTACAGCTATAATCAAATCGTTGACTTGTTAACTGTTCAGATTGGGGGCCTGCGAAGCAGCAGCTAGATGACACTTGAGTTGCCCGCTTCCCCTAACAGGGTGCCTGGATCTGAGCCCCAGATCACCCCAATCCCAGCTCCCTACCAGTGTGCACCCTGGGAGATGGAAGGTGATGGCTCAAGTACCCACCCCCATGGGAGAACTGGACTGAGCTCTAGGGCCCCCACTTTGATCTGACCCACCCTTAGCCATCACAGTCATTTGGGGGTGAACCAGCAGATGTCTCCTCTGTCACCTTAATTTTGAAAAATAATAAAAACCGTTCAGAACTATGCCTGTTTGTAAGGTACTGGCCATGTAAGTTCTTGTAGAGTCTGTATGTGTGACTCAACATACATAAAAAAAGAACCCTGCTACATTTCAAGTTTTTATTGAGACCAGATGTCGTCTTTTATATGGAGCCAGCAGGGCAGTTCAGCTATTGGCTTACGAGCAAGTGGCAGGAAATCAATGTCTCCTAAATGCGTTGGCTTCAGCAAGTGCGTAGGTGGCTCTGTTCTCGCAGCCATCCGAGGATCCAGATGCGAGGGGACATTCCGTGGGTTGTCTTCCCAGCAAATGTGAAGAGGGTAGGTCAGGGTGCACGAAGCAGCTTCCCTGCTTTACAAGGGGGAGCTGGGCATTGCTCGCCTCTGGGTGCTTGATCCACTGGCCAGCGGTCAATGCCTTACCCTCCAAGGAAGCTGGGCACCGAAAGGAAATGGGAACCCCCTTGGGTTATTTGGGGAAAAGGGGTCAATGGATCCTAGAGAGCGAGTTAGGGATTTCCCAATTTGAAGTGCTGGACAATCTCGGGTGAAAGGCTAGACAAGCTTAATCTTTCTGGCTGGCATCTGAGATCTGTGCAACCAAGAGCTCACTTTAACCATTTTATTATTAACACTTCCCCACGTGTACTTGCAGGGCGTCATACCAATCACAAGTCTTCGCCTTTTTTACACCTGTGTGAGTCAGTACTGCTACAGCTGTGTACGCGAGCAGTTGGCACGTCGAGCCCCAGATCCTACTGTTGAGATGAATATTTTGTTGGAATGCAGTTAGTTCTCTCAACTTCTGAAGAGACAGCCCCATGTTCCCAACCAACAGCTGGGAGCCCCTACGTATTTCAAACTCCTGTTTTTCACCTCATCCCCTAACCCCTTCCAAGTCCTCAGGGACTCTAAAGGAGAAATTTTTTAAGCTGCAACTGGTAAGTGCAGGTTTCACATAAATGCTGTTTTGTTTTGTTTTGAAGATTTATTTATTTATTTATTTATTTGAAAGTCAGAGTTAGAGAGAGGAGAGGCAGAGAGAGAGGTCTTCCATCTGATGGTTCACTCCCCAGTTGGCTGCGACAGCCAGAGCTGTGCCAATCCAAAGCCAGGAGCCAGGAGTTTCTTCTGGGTCTCCCCTGTGGGTGCAGGGGCCAAGGTCTTGAGCCATCTTCTACTGCTTTCCCAGGCCATAGCATCTCTGGTGGATTGGAAGTGGAGCATCCGGGACTAGAACCAGGGCCCATATGGGATCCTGGCGCTTCAGGGCAGGGCGTTAACCCACTGCGCCTGTTTTGAATTTTTTATTTATTTATTTATTTATTTTTTGACAGAGTAGACAGTGAGAGAGAGAGACAGAGAGAAAGGTCTTCCTTTGCCGTTGGTTCACCCTCCAATGGCCGCCGCGGCCGGCGCACCACGCTGATCCGATGGCAGGAGCCAGGTGCTTCTCCTGGTCTCCCATGGGGTGCAGGGCCCAAGCACTTGGGCCATCCTCCACTGCACTCCCTGGCCACAGCAGAGAGCTGGCCTGGAAGAGGAGCAACCGGGACAGAATCCGGCGCCCTGCCCGGGACTAGAACCCGGTGTGCCGGCGCCGCAAGGCAGAGGATTAGCCTAGTGAGCCGCAGTGCCGGCTGACACAGCTGCTTTGAAATACTGAAGGTAGGGTAGGGAAGGTCATTGTCCACGTATAAAGCCACTTCACTATGCCTGGCGTCCCTGTCTCCAGACACTTAAATACCAGCAGCAACTTCCCCTGCCCCTCAGTCATTGGAACAATCAAAAAGTACCCCCAGTACTTCAAACACACCTCTAGAGGTTGCCAGTGTCCAAAGTTAAAACTGATCAGTCATTGATTTCTGATTTCTTTTTGCAAGTTTAAAAACACATTTAAGGATTGATTTGAAAGGCAGAGTGACAGGTAGAAACAAAAAGAGAACTTCCACCTGATAATTCACTCCGCAAATGGCCACAATAGCCAGGGCTGGGCCAGGTCAAAGCCAGGAGCCTGAAACACTATCTTGAGTCTTCCCACGTGGGTGCCAGGAGCCCAAGTACTTAAGCCATCATCTGCCACCTCCCAGGCACATTAGCAAGAAGCTGGATAAGAAGCAGAGAGATAAGAAGCACATCCAGCTCTCTGCTGTGGCCTGGGAAAGCAGTAGAAGATGGCCCAAGTCCTCGGGCCTCTGCACCTGCGTGGGAGACTGGGAAGAAGCTCCTGGCTCCTGGCTTCAGATGGGCGCAGCTCCGGCCACTGCAGCCAACTGGGGAGTGAACCAGCGAATGGAAGATCGATCGATCGATCTCTCTCTCTCTCTTTGCCTCTCCTTCTTTCTCTGTGTAACTCTTTCAAGTAAATAAATAAAATCTTAAAAAAAAAAAAAAAAAAAAAAACAGAGAAGCCAGGATGCAAACTGGCACTCCAAAATGGGATGACAGCACCACAAGTGGTGGCTTAACCTGCTACACCACACCCGCCCCCGGAACCATCATTCTTACTCTCTCCTAGGAATTTTACTTTTGCAGAGTCTATTTGCCTGCCAGTGCAATCGTAGGTCTTTGTATCTCTGTGCCTGGCTTACTTCACTTAGCATAATATCCTCAAGGCTCATCCATGTTGTTGCAAATAACAGAAGTCCCTGATCAAAACACATTTTCAAACAACTCATGAATCTAAATAATAAAAAAAATTTACAGTGATGATAGATGCATAATAAAAAGATGAATGATAAAAATACAACATTGGGGCTGGAGTTCGGGTGCACCCAGATAAGCGACCGCCTCCAATGATGGCATCCCATGTTGGAGCAACAGTTTAAGCCCCGGCTGCTCTGCCTCTGATTCAGCTCCCTGCTGATGTGCCTGGGAAAGCAGCAGCAGAAGGCCCCTTGTGCTTGGGCCCTGCTCCCATGTGGGAGACCTGGGTGGAGCGATGGGCTCCTGGCTCCAGCCTGGCCCGCCCGAGCCATTGCAGCTGTCTGGGGGGTTAGGAGAGCCAGCAGATAAAAGATCTGTCTCTACTTCCTTCAAACAAATGAATGAATCGTTTTAAAAATAGAATATCAACATTTTAGGGTACTTCAGTAAGTCCATAGAAAATGGAATTAAAATACGTATTCTGGGGCCAGCATTGCAGCACAGTGGGTTAAGCTGCCACTTGTGACCCCTGCATCCGGGAGCAGAGTGCTGGTTCAAGTCCCTGCTGCTGTGCCTGCAGTCCAGCTCCCTGCTATGGCCTGGGAAGGCAGCAGAAGATGGCCCAAGTGCTTGGGCCCCTGACACCCATGTGGGAGACCAGGCTTTGGCCTGGCCCAGACCTGGCTGCAACAGTTGGGGCTGGGCCAGACTGAAGCCAGGGTCCAAGCACTTGGGTCATCTGTTGGTGCTTTCCCATTTATTCTAGCAGGAAGCTGGATCAGAAGTGAAGCAACCAGGACTTGGATCAGCACCCATATTTGACACTGGCATTGTAGACAGTGGCTTAACACCACAGCACCAGCCCCAGCAAAAAAAGACTTTTGAAAGCCATGCATACAAGGGGTCTTCAAAACACTCATGGAGGGGCCAGTGCTGTGGCACAGCAGGTTACAGTCCGGGCCTGCAGCGCCAGCATCCCATATGGTTGCTGGTTTGAGTCCTGGTCGCTCCACTTCTGATCCAGCTCCCTGCTATGGCCTGAGAAAGCAGTGAAAGATGGTCCAAGTCCTTGGGCCTTTGCACCCACGTGGGAGACCTGGAAGAAGCTCCTGGCTTCAGATCGGCTCAGCTCTGGCCATTGCAACTATCTGGGCAGTGAATCAGCAGATGGAAGACCTCTCTCTCTGTCTCTACCTCTCTGTAACTCTGTCTTTCAAATAAGCAAAATAAATCTTCATAAAAAATAAAAACTCATGGAAATGCATTATGAAAAAAAAAACTATGAACAGACTTCAATTTTTTGTGCCAAAGTAAACTCATTTTTCAAATCTTGTTTTAAAGGCAGAGAGAAAAACAGAGATCTTCCATCTGCTGCTTTTTTCCGTTAATGCCACAACTGGGCCTGGGCCAGGCCCAAGCTGGAAGCTGAGAACTCAGCCCAGGTCTTCTGTGTAGGTGGCAGGGACCCTGTCACTTGAGCCATCAACCACTGCTCCAAAGGTGAGCAGCAGCAGGAAGCTGGATTGGAAGCCGAGGAGCGCAGACTCGATCCAGGCATTCCCACATGGAAAGCAGGCATCCCAAGCAGTGTGCCAACCGCTGTGCCGAACACTCACCCCTAAACATATTTTTTTTATTTATTTTAAAATGTGAGTGTGAAACTCCCTCCAGCTGTCCCGTTATGCACTTCCCTTCCCTTTGTCCAGAAACACACCTTTTTGTTTCATTTTTCCATGAAACACTGAAGTACCCTGGTATATGAAATTCAGCTAAAGCAACTCATATAGGATTAAATACTTCCATTTTTAAAAAAGAATTGAGGGGTCAGCACTGTGGCTCACTTGGTTAATCCTCTGCCTGCAGCGCCGGCATCCGATATGGACACTAGGTTCTAGTCCCGGTTGCCCCTCTTCCAGGGCAGCTCTCTGCTGTGGCCCGGGAAGGCAGTGGAGGATGGCCCAAGCGCTTGGGTGCCTGCACCTGCATGGGAGACCAGGAGGAAGCACCTGCAGTGCGCCGGCCGT